TAAGGAAGTGACGTGTCTGCTGCCGCCGGTGAATAACGACAGCTCGACCAAGCGTTACTTGATGGAAAATCCCATCGAGCGAAACGCGCAAATTTGATCTTCTTCGGCGATTTCGCTTCGCGAAGTTAATTCTACGGGTTTTGATCAGTATGGCTGAAGACGAATACGGAAAGAACAGATCTTGCATTTTCGTGCCAAAATAGTGATATTATATACGGGGAAAATATAGCAATAAAGTTTCTTTAAAATTATATTTCTTTTTACTAATGCTTTTTATAAAGATGGACTATACTAAAATTGTAGTACAAATTACCATATACTTTAAGAGAAAAAATATCTAAAAAATAAAAATAATTTATTCGATGGACACTGACAACATATTTACTTAAATATAGATTCTTTTATTTAAACAAAATTATTGCTTTCATGAAAAATTAAGATTTTAAGAAAATATAATGTTTTTTATTTTGAAAAATATTTTATATTAATATAAGTGAATGTTTTAGTATAGAACCCAACAAATAAATATTGTCTATTTCTTAGATATCTTTTTTCTTTGAAATAATAAATTTGTTGATTTATCCTAGTATACGATATAAAAAACATTCAAGTAATTAAGCAAATTTATAGAAAAAAGTGTTTTTTAAACAAAGATATAATAACTTTAATCATAATTTTCTGTATGTTGCAATTTTTATCACAATATTCCTTCAATGTATGCAAGAAGGAATTACATCCTTCTTCTTGCGTTTTTGCGTGTTTGCGTGAAAATAAATATCAAATTTTCTTACACGGTTTATCAAAAACTTTCCTGCCGAAACGTCTCGTCAAAATAATTCCTTCGTAAAACCCGACAGAAATTTCGTTCGTCGAGAAAGTAATCGATCGCGCGAAAAGGGCAAAGTATGCGCACCTTCTTCCAACAGGCAACAGTGATTATGAAAGCAGAAAACAATTCGTCGCTCACAGACCATCGCGCGGGGAGCTTGCGCTAAAGGAGGTCACGAAAAAGATCCGAGTGTAATCGTTGATTCTCATCCGCAATGAGAAAATTCACAATCGAGCAAAACAGAAAGGAAAGAAGGAAGATGGGGAATCAAGCGATCGCTCTCGCGGATGAGTTTCAGGGATTCCCGTCTCGTCTCGTCCCCGTCGCGTCATGAAACGAGTATGACTAATTCCTCGTGGAAACTGAACTTTGCGATTTATTGTTTTTGACGATGAATTAAGAGGCACGATCTACCGCTTGTACGCGCACCTACGCGTCTTTACTATTGACGCGTGTGAATATGACGACGACGACGACGACGACGACGACGACGACGACGACGACGACGACGATGACGACGACGACGATGACAATAATCGTCATCCATGGACGATGACGCATTGCGCATTGCGGGTGTTTACGTACGCTTTCCAGTCGATGATTCGAGGACGTCTCCGGTGCTCGAAATGCGAACACGTGCTTATTAGTGCAGCCACAAGTAAATAAGTAGCGAGAGAGAAACAATGAGAGAAAGAGCGAGAGAGAGAGAGAGAGAGAGAGAGAGAGAGAGAGAGAGAGAAAAAGAGAAAGGGAGAGAGAGAGACTGAAACGGAACGACGCAAGGGCTTCCTCTTTTAAAGGGATCCTCTCCGTTTCTCCCAAGTAAGGGGATCCTGAAAGGGACTCTCGCGAGAAGTCTTCTATCAAAGATACAGCACTTCGCGCTTTCGTATTGCCGTGCATTTCTTATCTCGACACGAATTGTAACGCAACTCGACAGGTCTATAGCGAACACTCTCGCGATTGCGTAATACTACGCAACTGCGAGGAATAGGAAATTTGTCAAAGAAAATCGCAAATTTTTTTCCTTCCATGTCCTCCGACACGAGCCGAAATCACAAATTTAGACAGTAGAAACATCTAAACAAATGTGCTGTCGAGTGCAAAATTCGTATATTCGCGACACACGACACAGCTGTTGATGGACGCGCTGTGGAAGAATAATTGCACAGAAGTGACGTCAACGACGCGCGCAATACTCGAGAAGTAATTTTTCTAGATGAAAAAATAGTAACGATTCAACGTTTCACGATTCGTGAAGTAATTGCGGCATGACACTAATTCTAATCACGGAAGAGAGAGAGAGAAAGAGAGAGACGATAATGCAGCGTGGATCGGATCGCGGAAGCCAGTTGCGTTCGCTCCTTCGACGAGCACAGTAAGTTAAAAGTGGAGAAGAAGAGCAAACATCTCCGTATGTACAAAACAAATATAGATAGAACCGCATACATTCATAGATACACACGCGCACACATATATAGATGTATCGAGAGAGTAGATATCGAAGGTACGAGCATAAGAGACAGCGAATAATTATGCAATGGGGAAGAGAACACGGAGAGAGCTGTAGAGTATGTAGACAGAACTCCTATTTTCTTTCCTTTTCTTTTCACGGTCACGACGCGCGCGCGCGCGAACGCACGCAATGAGAACATGTGAAATGCACACACGCACGCGCGCGGTGAAAATAAAACGCGAGCGAATCGATACGCCACGCGTATCGCAAGTCGCGGAAAAAAACATACTCGTCGATACTTCCGCACAGCGTCATAAACTTCCGAGCAAGGCTTAAAATTTAATTCGTCTACTGTGTCGGCGCGGCGACAAATCGTTTTTTTCCACAAGATATTCATTCCGCCACTTCTTCCGTGCAAACTATTGCCTTGCCAAGGCAACTGACCCCGAATATTAAACATATTTTCTTCAGATTATTTTTCCTCAACGCGTCCGACGTATAAGCTACGTTTCAGAACCACTCTCTGTATATATATCCTGTTTCTAGAGTGAATACTTCGATCAATTCCACGTGGACCGTTCCATGTAAAATTCCGAAAGGCTTCCAACTCCCAGATATAGTCAGAGAATTTGGCACTTGTATCCCAAATTAAGACAATCCCCCGTCAGTTTGGCAAAATTCGCTTCAGTTTAACCGAGGAACGATATTCTCCCCTCTCAGCCCATCGATTGAATTCGTAATTAAGAAAAACTCGTCTTCGAATTCGTCAATGACCGACAGCTGTGGGAAAGTACGACGATATCGGAGCAATTCACAAAATAAACCGGCGAATGAGCGTGGATACATCGAACTTCAATGAAGCCTTAAACAGCGACTATTAGGAAGATTAATAAAGAAACATGAATGAGTTTTGGCTTAACAACTGTTAAGGTCTCATCAAAGCTTCATGTAACCGAGATGGATTCGTTCCATTCTGATCCTTCCGACTTTATCGTACGCGTTCGAATACGCGATCCCGCGTTAACGGTCGTTAATGTTCGTAATAACGTTCCAGATCAAAGACTCCCTACGGTCTGAATCACCTTTATGTGATCGTCGCGCTAAACTAAAAGAGAGAGAAAAAAAAAAGAAAAAACGCGCTCTCTCTCCCTGTATTTTTTGCGCGCGCGTTCGCTACGCGCCTCGCCGTCTCTCTCGGAGCGCGTCGATGCGTCGTCTTACAGTTTCTCCTCACGCGCGAAGTCAGGATGTATGCTCTCGCGTGGTCTGTTCTCCCCCTGATTCTCTCTTTGTTTTTGCTTCTCCGTCCTTTTCACGATTTCAAGATCGCATAGATCGGAGGGGGGTATATATTGTATCGTCGCCCGTGTCGGGGAACGAGCCCTCTCTATCCCGCTCGTCGGTCGCGCGCGCAATGTTAATTAATTTTCTCTTCATCCCCCGCGACAACACGCTCGGACCGCAACAACACGCTCGGGAATTGTCGCCCCCTCTGTGGCGCCAGAGCTGGATAAAATACTACTTCGAAAGATCGGCACTCTTCGGCCCCCTATAGCTCGGCGTCACATGCTCGCGTCCTCTCCTATTTTACACGAAAGACCCCTCGGAAGCCTTTCCTCGCCCCCTGCTTATGTCCCCTCTCCCCGATTGGACTCGCTACCGCGAGAGCGTTTTGTTAGCGGGCGTGATTTCGCAGAGCGGAAACGCGGAATTCGACGCGCCCGCACAAGAAGAAGAACCCATCATGTCCTTCAACCAGTCAAGTGGCGCTGCACGTTTCGCACGTTAACACGTCAACCCTTTATCAACGGCTGCGTTACACGTGTGTCACGTGTGTGCACGTGTCACTTCCGCTCAACGTGATGGAGATGCGCCTATTCAGATTGAAAAGTCGACACAATCCCGTCGTATTTAATTAAGAAGAAAAGGGAAAAACAGTTGAATAACGGGACTGCATACCGCAGATAAGAAACGCGAAATTATTTTTTACAAAATTGACGAATCTTTCTGAATCTCCTCGTACTGACTTCGGCGCGCTACTGTGAAAGGGTTAACGTGCCTCCTTCGAGAGTTCTTCTGACGGGCTCAGGCTCGTCGATTAGTTCTCGATGGCTTCGTAGGACGGTCTCGGCGATCTACTTGTTAAACCGTCCGAGTGCCTCAAGTCCAAAATCGGAGTCCTCCTCGTAGAGAGCGGCGGCAGGATATATCGACGCGGGGAAACGTCGCGCGACGATCTCAGGGATCGGATCTCGAGGTGTGTACTATCGCCACTTGACCGGTTTAACGATCGAAATAGTACTTTGCCCACCTCTCTCTGGCGCGACTCCTTCTTTGTTTCCTGTTTTCATTTTTTTTTTTTACTTTTTTTTTTCTCTTTGTCGCCATCGTTTTTAAGATCGTTTCGGTAGAACTCCAAGCAAGCAGTGGGCGCCCGTCTTGCCGCAGTAGCGCGCAACGAGATTCGTCGATGAAAATCGTTTCCTAGTTTACGAGATAGACGTGGGGGGAGGTGAGGTGGGAAAGAGGCTCGGGGTTTTATGGGAGTTGGTGGACTTACGAGGGGCTAAAGAGGCTTTACGGAAAGGCCGCTACACGGTGACCAGGATAGTTTCCCAAAAGGGGGGTGGCATTGACAGCGGGATCGAGGAACGATCGAGGGTCGAGAGTCAATGCGCAAAATAGGAAGGACAATACTGAAAAGGACAAACTCACCTCCTCGCATAACAGCAGCATACGCCTCGTGCTCTCCAGAGACTGAAACAAAGTCGATTCCGCAAGTTACACATCACACACGTCCGCCACGCGACGACGCTTGATGTTTTGCTTATGATCGCGGGGATCGCGCGTACGGAGTTGTGTTAGTCTCGCCGAAAAGGAGCTAATTTAACTTTAGTTAACTATTCGTTAATACTCAGCAGACGTGAAACCGACTTTTCAACTTTTGCATCTCGCCTTCATATTTTTTCCTTTTCTCTTTGCATACGCGGAAAAAAAGATATGGCGCACGTAATAAAAAGAAATATTTAGTAATATGAACAACACAGTTGCATCAACCTAGTTATCTTTATGTGATGGTAATGCGTACTCAGTCACGCTGGCGCGTCAACTGCAATCAGAAATCTGTTGGGATTGCATTTACTATGGATACACTCTAGTTGGAACAACCAGATTTATGTGTGAGCTAACCATAATATTTTTTTTCCGTGTAGCAACACTGCCATATGTATTAAAATTTCGAGTGTATTAAGGTTTCAAAAACTACAAAGAGTCACGAAAACATCCGTCAAGTGCCATCCGAGGGTCTAAACGCTCGCGATCAAGATTTCGATCATGTTCACAACAATCGCGCCTGAGGATTCTCTCGACATGCTCGAGGGTTCTTCAAGTCATCCAGCATCCACCTCGTTTTCAAATAAGCGGACTAGTAGATTAATTAACGAGAACGACCATAATAAAATGCTACGACGACGGAAATTTCTTTCGGCGGGAGACGCTCATTACTCGGCTCGTTGAGCTGGCGCAGCGGCGAATCGGAGCTGAAAATCGCAAAGAAATGCCGGACCGCGCGCATCCATCGCCTACGTGGACGGAAATCTCGGCGATATCACGTCGATTTCAGCTCCCGGCCGTCGCAAATCCTCGTGACGGTCACGATACATCACGCGCTCGCGCAAACACACACACACACATACATACACACACACACACACACACACACACACACACACACACACACACACACAC